TCGTCGAATTTATATTATGCACTGTCTAATTTAACTAATTGATGCACGAACGTAAACAAGTGCAAACGGGTTAGTTTCTGTCTCGTAAAAACACTAAAGCTGTATAGTATCACCTGTTAATTAAAATTTTACATAGACTCTTATAGTGCGTTTAATAATTTGGTCAGGGACTGTATATGAAACTCTGAGGGGAAAACGTGATACCAATTCTTATCTAGCATTCTAATTTAGGTGTCATTAAATAAAACACAAAGAAATGATTTCTTTTAAGTGGAAAACAAAACAACGTTTTTCTATTTAACTGTAAAAGTGAGAACTTTTCTCCCTCTTTTACACTTAAAACGGAAAACGAAGACTGGACGAAAGACAAGAAGAAATTTTAGGTTGTGATTGAAGCAGATTAAGAAAATATGCACCCGAGGTGTTTCGTTCTAGGTGTGGCAAAAATAGAATAGTTTTTTTCCTTTTTGGTCCCTTTGAGAAGTTAAGTCGTGATTTTTTCTTGTTTTTATTTATGTATCCATAGTTTAATAACTCAACGCATATTTCATCAAAAAACTGAGATCAGATTTTTTCAAGAAATTTCTCGAGATATAGTTAGATATCTTGATCTAGTTAAACGCGATCTATGAAGTTTTTTTTTGTTTTTTTTTTCCTTCAGATTTTCTTTATAAAAAGGGATAGATAGCTTTTTATTGCTTATTTAAGAATTTGTGTATTAAGTTTTGAAATAAATTGCTGAACTCACGTCGTATTTTCTGTTAGTTGTGACACTACAGAATTATTACTAATGGCAGAGTTGTGGACTTTTGAAAAGTTTAATTGGTTCCTTTCAGAAAATGTGAATTTCTTAAATTATAATTCAAGTTAAGTTATTTGAAAGTATATTGAGACACAGTAGCTCACACTTTATAATACTATAAGAGTTACGGACCGTGGCGGTAAAATCCAACAATAGCGCACTTCGTGGCGACTTTTTGAAATCTCGCCAAGTTTACCAAGTCGGCGATCATTACTGGCATCAATATTGCTTTTTGATTATTAAAAAATGAAATAATAACGGTAATAAATGAAATAACGGTTTAAAAATGAAATAACATCAAGAAATCAGAAGCATAAATGGCGAAAAAATAAACGTCTTTTACGTCTTTTTTGACGAAATTCAACTTTGGTCAAATAACCAATCTGGTTTAAGAGTTTTAGTGGTGCGATCAGACGTTCAAAATAATCTCCCCAAATATCTTCGGGAAACATAGTTTGGCGAGATTTGAAAAAAAAATCGCCCATGGCCTTTTTTAATAAAGGGGAAAAAAATCAAATCTCATTGATCTTGTGGGGAAAGCGCTTTCTACTATTTCAACGGTCATCTATCAAAAGGTCAATATGGAATCGAGTTAGCATGTCTTGTATACTAGTGAATTGATGTTTAATAATCGTAGTTTTAGTTTACGCCACAATCTAACAGAGGAACTAGGTGAAACGATTTTTCCTCAAGTACATGTGTTTGAAATATAGCAAATAATTCAGGGAAATAAAAATTATGAGATTGAGGATGCGAAAATATCATTGACTAGAATTATAGAGGAGAGAGTTTCTTTTAATTTTATTACCGTCGTTAAACAGCCGACCCAATTTTATGGGTTTACGACTATTAATGTTCAACTCCGTAGCCTTGTAATTTTGAACCCAATCCAGAAAACATGGGAACACCTGGATCAAGTATTGGGAGAAATTCGCATTTGCGTTACATGGAGAGAAAAACAACGAAAATCTCCCAGAGTTAGGCTCACGGTGAAGGGACTTTAATCCATGATCCGTCTACCACTGAGGATATTTTACGTCATCACTGTTATATCGGTGCAAAAGGCGGATGCGGAATTCGTATCGACCAGCGTGGCTGGGTTTCGAACCCAGTTTACCTCATTGGAAAGCGAAAGTATATATATATATATATATATATGTCATG